GGCCACCTCCACCTGCAAAGCTGCCTCACGCCAGCAAGCAAGGGCTTATTGAGCAGGCTGGCAAAACACTACAGGCCCCTGGCCAGCTGCTCGAAGCCCAGAGAGCGGAGCTCCCGGTCCCGCTCCGCCGGGCTCAAACTACAAAAGCGCTGGAGCAAAGTCATCTCACGGCGCAACATGGTTAGTTGGGCACAGCGACGCGAAGCAAGAGGCAGGCACGAATGTTGAACCGCGCAGGCACGAACGCATCGCTCCGGGATTTTTTCACAGCTGGCGCACGCTCAATCATCCTGGTCCTAGTCTTCGGTCCACAAATGATCAGGGCCGTACCGCGCGCGGGCATGCGCCCAGTCCAAAGTGGCGTCATCATCGATTTGATCAATGAGGTGAATGAGGACGAGTTCGCCACACAGGTCGGGGCGTCTTCTGAGCCGGTCCTGTATCTCCAGGACGGCCCGCCTGCAGCGTTTCCCACCATACAGCTCAAACACCATCTTAAGATTGTGCTCGAAGAAGGAATCCAGGCGCCAAATCTCTTTTGAGATCTCTTTCACGTAGTTTGCGACATCCCTGAGAAAAGTGTATGACTCAATGTAGAACCGAAATGGGCGGGTCGCTCTTCGGCACCCTTTGCTCACCAAGCAGAGCCGTCCCACGTCTCTGATGGCTTCTGCCCATCTTCCCCACAACACGAGGGGCAAATCATCATGGGACTCCTCATCTCGCTGCTTCGGCGCAGAAAGCTCGCCACCATCATCATGATCTCGAAGCTCAGGGCCATGACCTGGCAGAAGGCGCAAAACGAGAGAGAACACCGCGGCGCGAGCCCCCGGCCTCTTCAGCTCTCGCGACGTGCCTGGAAGCCCTCCCGGTCTCGAAATCTGAAAACGGCTGAGGCGGGCGGAGTGAGGCAATGGCTCATCCAGGTGTGCGTGTGACATGCGCGCAGCTTCGCACAGCTTCGCACCGCTTCGCGCGCGCCGCGTTCGTCCGCCGACTACCGGCACGGGGCCC